TAACAGACCAGCAGCTGGCCCTGGACCTTAAGCCTCACAAGGTGCTCAAGCTTGTGTCAACTCGCTGGCTAGGCCTTGGTATCTGCTTGGATCGCTTCATCGACAAATGGCAGGCGATCAAACTTTTCTTGGAGAGTGAAGTCAACAAAAAAGGTGTGAGTTATATAACATGTACTTCTATTGCTAATCAACATTTAACAGTGGAAAATAATGCCTTATGTTATGTCTTGCAGACAAGTCAAAGGTGGTGATGCCCAAGTCAACCTCTGAAAAGCCAACTGCTGCCAAGAGTCCCCACCCCCAGGCCGCCCGTGACAGTGACAGGTAATTAACTAATTAACTAATGTTACCTTAGCAGTTTTGGTAACTAATAGCACATATTTTGTGTGTACATATTCTTTGTATAGTCACTGTTGATATGGATTGTTATTGGGTTGGGAATTTCATTTTTTATAGGAGAAAAAACTACAAAAGGACAGTTCGACCTGTCAAAGTACCTGTTCAATCAAGAGGAACAGTGGAGAAAGAGAAAACTACAGGAAGAGGAGAAAAGTAAAGAGGACGCCAGCAGGAAGAAGAGAAAACTGGAGGAGGACTTCATAAAGTTACTGCCAGCTAAGCTGAGATCTCTCCACACTTTCTTCAATGATGAAGTGTACTGTCTTTTCCTGCAAGCTGTTATTCCCACTTTTGAATCTCCCAACCAGTTCCTCCAGGATGAAAAGCCCTTGATACATGAACTCCACCATGCACTGCTTGACCAGCTTAAAAAACTGATGGTTAGGTTTGTGAAACCTTCTGTGATTGTAGCTGCTGACAGCCTGATGGATGTAGATTACACAAGTAAGGAAAATCAGCTGTCTGACAGCAATCTGGTTGTAGGCAGCAAGACCAGGAATTACATCAAAGAGCATCCCTCTCTCTCTGGCCTTGATGACTTTTACCTTCGGTTGAGATCATTCTTTGAGACCTCTGTGGCCTACATGATAAAGAACTTCAGACTGAAAGACAGTGTGCTTGTCAATGCCACAGTTGTTACCAAGAGCGAGTCAGTGGAGTTTTCACAGTTACAATTCTTCTTGGACCRCTATCCAGTTCTGCTCCAGGTTGCTGGAGGTGACCTAGATGTGGTCCAGGAACAATTCCTACTGTACCAGGTTGAACAAGATGTTATCAGTAAGGACAGAGCAGATGACACTTGGCACACCATCAGTACCCTAAAGGATGGCAACGGTTTGCTGAAGTTTTTAGCTCTGTCCTGTGTCATGATGGGCATTTTGACTATGTTTCATTCTAATGCGTCATGTGAGAGGCTATTCAGTCTGGTCACTAAAAACAAAATAAAGTTCAGACCCACAATGGGAGTCCAGACACTGCACAGCCTTACAATGCAAAAGCAGAAGATGCTTGTCAGTGGTAAGGCTTGCCATCAGTCTGCAACTC